ATGATGAAATTGAATAAAAATGGAGACAGTGGGCACCCTTAGCGGACACCAATATGCAGCTTATTAAATAAACCTTATACCGTTTTGTGAACATTGGTAGCGTATGCCACTTAATCAATCTTGTAGTCTGCTATAAAAACGAAAAGAAATTGTAAAACCTATAACTCCTAAGCAAACCATTAAGAAGGAAGAAAAGGTGGTGGTATCTTGTTCTCACTTCGTTCTACTAACTGGTAATGCGGCTGATTGATGAAGGTAGTGAAAATTCGAACAGTGGGTTATAGGTCCGAATACCAATCAACCTTCGCTAATGAAGACGATTTATTCATCTGGAAAACACTGAGTTTCTAAGCAAAAACATGAAATGGAAATCGTGTATCACAAAAGTAATAGTAGTAGTAGTAATAATAATAATGATAATAATAGTAATAGTAGTAGTAACAATAAATCCGCTTTTCTCGCTTAGTAAGAAGGTCAGTTCATGAATAGCCCCCAGGCTAGGAGATGTATTCCGGATTATGGTATACTTTAATTGGTTTTGAGATTGTTTGAGACAGTTCGCATAAAGTCCTATTTGACCTGGATGTCACGTTAATCTGAACTTGTCAGCAAGGTATATCTGAAACACTGAGTAATATGGTTTGTAATCTTCTAGAGGACATCAGTTCCTTGGAGGTTGTGGATGAGATTTACTGACGACTACCAACAACAACGAAAGGTATCTTAATTTATAATTAGTTTCAGCTATTCGGTTATTGACTAATTCATTCAGTAAGTAGACTCACAAACTGAAATGTACTTAGTAACCCTATGCATATTATGGAGTTGGCAATGAGCCAAATCTGTAGCTTGTGGGATAATTCTACCACTTGGTTGCCAATACCTTGGTTAGATGGGGTAGAATTTGAACCATTAACTTATACCAATCAGTAAGTAAACCACAAAAAAAATCTACATTCACTATCTATAACACTAAGTAAGATGAAGGGTAATGATTGAAGATGAAATAGAAATTTGGGCCACGGTGGGATTCGAACCAGTGACCATTGCTTTCCGGATGCGAATTTTTATTTCACCTTTAATCAGAACTCAATGTCAATACTAGTCTGACAAACCACAACTATCTTATATAGTCAAAATGATAAATAAAGTAGTTTCAAGGTTATTTTCATTGTTTTTAACCTATGTAGAGAGTTGGTTACAAATTTTTTAACCAAATTGCAAAAAGATAGAATTCAGTCAATAAGCACAACTAGACAATATCAAATGGATTATTCTTCAGTGAAAAAAAAGATTCAACAAATCAAATCTTGTGGAAAGTCAATCATGACTCAGATATCTGAATGGTAACGTCTATGACAGATGTACTGAATGACGTCAGTTCAAACTCCTGAAGGAACATCAGTTCTGTTAAGGTTGCAGATACACTTTGCTAAGAAGTGCCAAAAAGCTCGAAATCTCGACTAAGTAGAACTTTCTACTGATCACTACTAATCAAGTAACATCTCATTCAAAGTTCTAGTACTCTCACTTAAAAGACACCTAAAGACAACTTTAAATGAATCTTATGTGGAATAAGTAGATAAAAGTTGAAAAAGAAAAATCATTTTGAAAGTTAATTCCAGACTGTACAACAAATATTGATATTCACTATGGTTAGTTTATGCAATTTTTTGGTATATAAGCTTGGATTTTATTAACAAACAAACCGTTCGTGTCCAATAACTTTACCTAAGGTATTTGACTTAATATTGGAAGAGAAGTTGGGAATAATTTTCATATAGTGAAAAATATTTGTAGCTTATGTGTAAGATCTTGATTGTATTTTGTTCTCTGAACTGAGTTATCCAATCATGAAGCTTTCATAGTCTTTCTAGACAACATAACCATCAATAGTAACTTCAATATGAAGTCAAATGTCAATATCTCTCCATGAATCATTCACCAATTTAACCTCATCAAATGCTTTGTCTACAATCACTTCCTTCATTTCATTATTGTATCATTGACAAACTGCACAAACTTTCCTGTTGGCTGTTCCTCTACGTCAACTCTCTCTCACATTTCTGCAACTCATCACTTTTATTATTGGTTGGTAGATTATATCTACATCAATATTTCTATTGATTGCTGACTGACTAAACTGAATACCAGGCTTTGAGGAATTCTCTGATGATATTCTTTGTGTTTCCTCTCTCTATCCATGATTTCTACATTGTCAACATTGAATTCATGTACATAGTTGTTATCCGCATGCATTGAGCGATGAGCGAGGAAATGTCATGACGTTTAATATCCAATTGGTGTTCATGTAGACGAAGGCGAATATGGCGACCACGTTATTCAATCAAGTGTTGACTACAGTTATTCCAGTTGATTTTGTAAATGATATTACATTTGTCCTGTTTGGTTATTGCATCCTTTGGTCTGTATACTAGTGTTTGAAGGGTATTTGTTGGTTCATGAGCCACACCAATCCCACAAAGTGGTCTCAGTAATCTTGTTGTGATTCCTGATATATTCTTTATGTATGGTAGGATAATTTGTCTGTTGATTTCTGTCGATGACTTTGTAGGTGATGATGAATGGGATAAGTATCAATTCATGAAGTTTAGTGAGTCAGTGTTCTTCTTTCAAATAGACACCAAGTAATTTTCTTCGTCTCTCCATCAAGTTGTTGTGCTCCAGTGTACTCTCGCTCTTTTCAATAGAGTCTGTACATAACCAATTTTGTGAGTTGTTTCATTGTTACCTCCATAGTTAGAGATCAGATCAGTGTACATCGGCTTCCTGTACACTCAATTTACCAGTTTTCCGGTATTTGTCCTACTCACTGAAACATCCAGGAATGGTAGTTGGTTGCTCGACTCCTTCTCCTTTGTCAATTTGATATCATTGAAAACGCTGTTCACCAAACTGTGAGTGTTTTCTATATCATCTTTTTTGATGATGACAAAAGTATCGTCTATATAGCGAATCAAAATTTTTGATCTGGTAGGAGGTAGAATCATGACTTCTAGTCTCTGAATCACTGCTTCTGAAATAAGTCCCGATATCGGTGATCCCATTGGAGTACCTTTCATCTGTTTGTACATCTTGCCATTAAAATGGAAGTATGTTGTCAGACAGAGGTCGATGAGTCCCATCAAACTTGAACATTTGTGTTTTGTGTGTTCTAAAAGGCTTGTGTCTTCCATGAACAGGAAAGACATAGTTTTCTTGGTGTTTCACTGATCTGTATAATCCTGTGACATTGACGGATATCTTTAATTCGTCGTTTTATTTTCAAAAGAGCGAGAATACACTGCAGTACAACAACTTCATACAGAAACGAAGAAAATCACTTGATGTCCACCTCCTAAAGAAGAACGGCTACCCACCAAACGTCATCAGATGATGCCTATCCTGTTCATCATCAACTACAAAGTCATCGACAGAAATCAACAGACAAATTATCCTACCATACATAAAGAATATATCAGGAATCACAACAAGATTACTGAGACCACTTTGTGGGATTGGTGTGGCTCATGAACCAACAAATACCCTTCAAACACTAATATGCAGACCAAAAGATGCAATAATCAAAGAAGACAAACCGAATATCATTCAGAAAATCAACTGGAATAACTGTAGTCAACACTTGATTGAATAACGTGATCGCCATATTCGCCTTCGTCTACATGAACACCAATTGGATATTAAACGTCATGACATTTCCTCGCTCATCGCTCAATGCATGCGGATAACAACTATGCACATGAATTCAATGTTGACAATGTAGAAATCATGGATAGAGAGAGGAAACACAAAGAATATCATCAGAGAATTCCTCAAAGCCTGGTATTCAGTTTAGTCAGTCAGCAATCAATAGAAATATTGATGTAGATATAATCTACCAACCAATAATAAAAGTGATGAGTTGCAGAAATGTGAGAGAGAGAGAGAGAGTTGACGTAGAGGAACAGTCAACAGGAAAGTTTGTGCAGTTTGTCAATGATACAATAATGAAATGAAGGAAGTGATTGTAGACAAAGCATTTGATGAGGTTAAATTGGTGAATGATTCATGGAGAGATATTGACAGTTGACTTCATATTGAAGTTACTATTGATGGTTATGTTGTCAAGAATGTCGAAGAGGATCATAATTTCGCAAAAACTTCAAATTGTATTCAGTTAGGTTTTGGTTAGCATTCATCAGACTAACGTAATTTACAAACTCTAATTCACCTTGGAATGATAAGTGCTTCGCAATCTATTGGTTTCAATGCTCGTTTATTTTATCAGTATATTAAATTCGTTGACAGCATCTTATATTAAATGTATCACCCCCCCCCCTTCGATGAGCTCTGTCGACATAAAACTTTTGTTCAAGTGTTTAGATTAATAAGCTGACAAACCTCCGAACCTCTCTCTCTCTCTCATTCACTTATTCTATGGTGAAAGTTTTGCTCAAGAGTTGGATCACATCGTATATTCTTCTTTAAAAAAGTAACTTCCTTTTTAATATGAGGATAGCTGCGATCAAAGATGAAGCGAAACTCCAGTTATAGTTATCGCTGATATAACAATTCGTCACATCTTTAATATAGATGATACCATCAGTTGGTCGTCAGTATAAATCCTATAGGAAGAAATCAAACTACTGAATAACTTCAGTACTTAGAAACTACTCAGATCGATCTGTAGCTTTCGTCAGCCAGTCAGGTGAGCGTAATCTAACCTTCGGGCAGCCATTTCGATCGTTTGGAGTTAAGTTCATCAGCTATGAGGAGTATCAATGTGAACCGTTTATCAGTAACAAGTTGGCCATCGTATTTCATGTATACCGGTCCATGTCAATGCCAGATTCAGGTGAGCTGATTCGGCCAAGTGTTTAGCTCACTGTAATCTGACTGATGAGTCTCAGATGGGATGAAACCTGCTTTCTAGATATCAGTGCTAGGCAACTTGTTTATTGATAAATGAATAATAATGAAAATGATTACATTCTACTTACCATTAATTTCTCATCATCATCTTCCTCTACAACAACTGATCCACGTATCTGTTGACTTGCTTTTGGACTACTCATCTATGTGAAATAACTTTGAAAAACTGTTAGGATATTTCTAACTTGACAAAGATTTTAATGTCGCTTGTTTATTCTTCAATTTGATCTTTGATTGATAATGGTATATACTGAATAAATTGGAGGCCTAAACTATCTACTAATCAGCTGCTTACTGAAATTTGATTGGTTCATTTGTCTACCAATGGTGAAATATTGGATAGGAATAGAATATAGAATGGGTTTCGTTAGTCAGTTAAATGTACTAACCTCCTATCCGTTGTCCCCCCCAATAAAACAAAAATATAACCAATCTTCAATGTTCCAAACACTGAAAAGTTATCAACTTACCTAGTCAATAGTCTGAATAAATTAATTCTTATGCTATACATGATACTATGATAATCATATACATAAAAATAGGGAGTAGAAAACATTCAGTGATTATTTCAAGTTGTTATTCATCGAAGACTGACATCAGTTGGAGGAATAAAGGAAACCTGGGAGAACTGGACAGCTGTTTCGTCCTAGTATAGGACTCCTCAGCAGTGCGCACCCACGACCCCACCAGTAGGGATCGAACCCGCGACCTTCAGGTTCCGTGGCCAGCGCGTTGCCATTGAGCCACTAGTGATTAATAACTTAAAAAGAAATACTTACATACATATACAAGAAATAAACTTGCCAGCAAGTATTATAATGTATATTGTACACTGTTTTATCCTTTCATTATTCATTCATATACTTACTTACAATATACACTTAGAAGGAGAGATAACGCCCAGTGAACAGGTTGATTATCTATAGAATTCAAACTATTTTACTCATAATAAGGAATAGATCATTTACCTCAATGTATACATAACAAAACAATTAACACATGGTCTCTTCAACAGGCTCCTCCCTTATACACGCTATATATATATATATATATATATATATATATATATATATATATATATATATATATATATATATATATATATATATATATATATATATATATAGCGTGTATATATATATTAACCTGATTCCCCTTCTATTCATATTGTTTTCATAGACACAGAGAATAAAACTGGATAAAATTCATAAACACTGAATTACAAATAAGTTTTATTTTCTGTTCCCTTCTTCAAAATACTCGAAGTTATTCCTTTCTTATGTGGAAAGTGAGATAACTATCTCGATATATAAACAGATGTTACTATGGTTACATTATATTGAAACAAATTATTTAGTAATTATTATTGAACTATAATTTGCCTATCTAATCGATTTGAGGTTTTTATTCATAACTATGTTTACTGTAAGTTAACAGTTTAGTAGACTTTATGTATGTAGGAAAAATATTGTTCCGACTGATGAGTCCTAAATGAGGCGAAACAAGCCTACTATAGTCCGTTATAAGACGCCAAGATCATAAATCAAATAAACTAAATTGTTTGAATAGAATCAATCTATAGAAGGAATTAATAATATTCACTAGATAATGTTATTGTCATTCTTATGTTAGTTTGATGTCTTGATTCAAAAATGTACACAACTGACTAGTCAAGTTGGGAATGTTGAAGCATTACAGCTGGTTGATTGATTGAATGGTAGCATGTTTACTAAAGTGTGGAAGCATCCTGAGTTCGATCCCTTGTAAGTTCACAGATACACGCTGTCGAAAACATCTTTCAATTCAGTAGTTGAAATGTTTCCCACCTATTAGTAGTTTTTTTTAGATGAGACCATCATTAGGTAATCAAAAATTATTTTTCATTCCATTTCTACTAGTTAATACATTGTATGCAACTATCACTTTACTGTGATAATGCATAGCTTTGTGATGTTATTAGCAAGCCTTTGAAAGTAGCCTTTAGTTGTAGAATGGAATTGTTTCGCAATGTGGCGTACGATTCTTAACTGAGAGATAATGCCTCAGCGCTTGTTCACTCCCTGCCTCATACACACACACACACACAGTATTGCTGGATTACTTATTGGATGATGTTTCAAGCACAACCTATGTCTCGTAATCAAATATACATCCGTATATTAGATAAACAAAGTGAATACTTCACCGATTGCTTCATTTCAATCATTTAGAGTAGATGAATCGTTTATGATATCTCGTTGAGTAAAAATATCTAAGTTAGCACTGTTCAACTTACTCAATGTTATGTAATGAAGAAAAAATGGGATTATGTTGTTTCTTCGATATAAATGATCAATTTCTATTGGCATATGGGTTTCTACACGGATAACTCAATTTTACTTGTGTTTCAGTTTTATTGTAAGTTGCTAGAAGTGGAATTCATGATGGCCAGTCCTTGTACATCGGGAATAGTATCGTTTCGATATCGTGGCTTGTAAGTCTTAGTAGGAGCAATGTCAGGTACTAGGAGACAGGTACATTCAGCTAACCAGCCCTAAACGGGACGAAACACGCCACCTAGATTCCACTGGTGAATATTCTTTATCATTACTATGAGATATTAGGATTTTGTATAATCAAGGTTAGACTGTATTCTACTATGCTGTCACTTAAAGCCGTAATTACCAAATTCAACAATAACATCCACGCTTACACTGTAGCAATAACACAAATGGGGACTTATGAAATTGACTAATAGGAAGTTACAGTAAACGTAATTCAGACTTATAGTCTATGAAGTTAACATTCATGATGCGTTGATCTTCAAATTCTTTTCCTACTTTGTTCATCTTCTGCACTTCCTTCCAATATCTTTCATCTCCACCTTCAAAGCCGTTACTGACTGGATGATAAATCTACTTAATTATGGCATCCATTATGAACTGACAGCAGTTGGAGAAACATTGGAATCCTGAGAGAACTAAACAGTAGCAATTTCGTCCGACTGTGGGACTCCTCTCTTCGGCAGTGAGTACCCATGACCCCGCCTCTCAGGGACCGAATTCAAAACCTCCAGGTTCTTCTATCAGCAGGTTACCATTGAGCCTTTGGGTCGGTAGGGTTTAGTGGTCAATATTTCTAACTTCTTTCAATTCACGAAATAGCTCGACCATCACCCGATATCATCATTGAATATTTGTCCTCACATGCAAAAGGTTTGCTCCATCGGTCCACGACTACTCAATGGAACTTAAGTAACCACCTCTCAAAGCTAGGCATCAAAGAGAATTAGATTAATTTATTTTGAGGAGTGAAGTCCAATTTGAGACTCGTTAGCTGGATTTACATACCTTTCAGTGATTGGTGTTCGACCCAATGACACTCGAACCAGCGACCAACCGCTCCACTTCGCCAGTGAGATAAGACGGTCACTTCATTTACAACAGGAATAGTATAATTTTGATCGCATGGCTTATGAAGTTTAATGGCAGCATCACTACTCACTGGGAGTTAGGTAAATTCGGTTGAAAAGTCTTCAACAGGACGAAACGTGCATCCTGGATTTCACTACTAGCCACTATACATCATAAATATCAAGCTTGAAAATACCTACAATATCAAGGCATCCATAAAGGAGATCATATACCAATAGATGGACCGATTAATTCGATAATAGTAGTTCATAAATACCTACTTAGTTGATGTAAACCTCTTGTATAGAGGAAAGGTATAGTCAATTAACAACTCGCTGACTAGATGATTGTAGGTTACTCTTTCTATGAAGTTTTATCAACATGTTGAAGATATCTATGCAATCAAACAAACATAGGATGATTACTTTCCATATAATTTACAAATTTCATGGTCCATATTGACGTCTTTCGGAGCTGAATAGTTTTTTCAACTGCCTAAATGTCGCGTAGATAAGGCTTCCTTTGAAAACCATTCAGCGAAGATCATAAGATGTGACCTCTGGTACAAAAGTGACATACACTAGCTTTATATATACTACTCTTGAAGGAATTGATTACTTAGAGATCACTCAAATTGACGTTAAGATTAGGTTTTATGGGCTGAATTCGTCTAAGTAAACAGTTGATGAGCTTGGCTCTAGACGAAAGAAACCACTGTCCAGTGCTTAGGTCATTCTAATCTGTCTGTCAAGATCTACAGGCTGAACTGAGTGGTTTCTAACCAATCAAATTGTTCAATAGTAGTAACCTTCAAGTCAAACCTTATCACATTGGTTTAAGCTACTGATCATACAATGATATATCAAGCACATGCAACTACTAATTCTCTATGCTACTCACAAAGATTATGATACTGTGAGAAAATGCCAGATTAGTCGTAAAGTCCATATGCTATACATCTAGATTTGCATAAAAACATCAATCTGCATAGAGTAATTGCCCAGATGGATGGTTGTGAAAGAACAATGGATTGTTGAAGCTGGCAAAGTGGTCCCAGTGTTCCAATACTCATCAAGGTCACAATGTATGCAAGCGATTATGAGTCGGTAGGCGTATGTAGAGTAATAGAAGAGATTTTCCGAAACAAGACATCCTGATGGGATGTATAGAGAGAATTTTACGAAATACACAATGACAGACAGTAGTGGTATAAAATAAATGTGGTGAAATCTCTATATCCATTGATTCATAATTACACATACCATAGACTGCGTTATTTAGATACCTCTAAAACTGAATATGGAGATATACTTCCTTCTGTTGCTGTCATTAGTGAATAAAAATATGGCTCAAAGTTACTGCCACCTTGACTATGTAATCTGAAATGTGTAAAACATTGGGCTACCTCATTTTATCATGGAATGAATATATTCCATCAAATTTATCCTTTCCATATTGTTTTAATCATTCACTTGTATCAACTAATCGGATTATAAAGCTCTAGCACATTTTTAAAATCATTACAACCTATCACATTACAAGTTGATAGGAGAATACAGAAAAAGGCACCAAGGTGGATAGCAACTGGATCACAAGCTCATGATTATTCTGGAAATACTTAAGCACAAAAACTACAGGTGGTTACCGTGAAGAAAGTTGATTACCATAAATGTTTATCGAAATATGGGTGTAATAATACTGCAGGAAACATGACTTCATCCCCTTTATGATGATGATGACGATTTAGTCTG